GCATATTTTAGGTAGAGCCTCCATCATATGTAGTAGCTCTTCCCATGGGGGCGGATGGAGATGTTCTTGCTAGCGCTCTTATGCGGTTGTTTTCCCCTCTTTTTAGGCAGCGGATCAGAGTTCCGGAGAGCAGCAGTTTGATGGAGTTCCTGTATAGTCGTCGTCGTTGTGTGATAGTCAGTTATTGCTCTACATTAGCTTAGTAGTTGTTTAGTTGATTTCTAGAGTTGTATTTTATTTGGAGGCTGAGTGTTTATGTACTTTTGAGTTGACTCCTACATGTTAGAGATTCATAGTTTTATTTCAGTTTATCAAATGTACTTCTTTTCTTTTATGGAACACACTTATATTTATTATTGGATCTTTCTTTATCTTGTGTTTCTTGCAATATTACCTTTACTTTATCTGCTTTGTACCTACACATGATCATTGTTTAATTTCACTAGAGATATTACTGTGATAGTGAAACATGTTGTTGCACAGTGTTGGGTGCATGGCAAGTTTGACATTCTTGGGTTCACATTGGACTGCAGCGTTGTGTGAAACTAGGGGCGTCACACCTTGATTTGATCACGTATCCGATCATACACACATGTTTTGGGTGTACAACCCGCTTGCCAAAGAAGGTTTTGTAAATGTATCTGGCCAAAGCTCTTTTTAAAATTAGCTCTAATGTGTCTTAAGTAATAGCGGTGATGTTGATGAGAGCCAAATCTCATGTACAATGCTTTAGGACTACCTTTCATCCTATCGGATATAAAAGTAATTTTTTTAGGAGGCAACACATTAAAAATATATAATTGAATGTAAGAAAAAACCACTCCAAATTTTCACTATTCTCGACCTCCACAACTGCGAAGGCCAAAGGAAATAAGCCACCATCCGCATCTATTCCTGTAACAACAAGCAATACACCCTTCCTTATATTTACCATATAAGTGTGTGTCATCAATGCTAAGAACCGGTCGACAAAATTTAAATTCCTCGATCGAAGGACCAAATCCCTCGATCGAAGGACCAAATACCCAAAATACAGAGGTGAATTGATGAACTCCCGAATTGATCTCTTTGGTTATGAGTTGGTATTTAGATCCAGGATTGCTTCTTTTGATCGCATCAAGATATTGAGGTAGTGTCGCGTAAGACTTCTTCCAATCACCAAATATTTTTGTCCTCGCAATTCTCCTTGCATTCCATGCTTTACTATACGATATTTTAATGAACTTCATATTTAGCACTCTCTCAGTTATATTATCGGGAGTTAGTTCAAGCTTCTTCTTTAATTTTGACATAATCAATTGCGCTATGTAAGAGGTAGATGCATCACTGTGATCTTGCTCTAATATCATATGCTACATGTGTGAACACCACAGTATTATATTATCCTAAAATACCCATTATGTTTCTTTCCGACAAATGCATATAACTTCCAAGGACATGCGTACTCAGCTACATTTCCCTTGGCCCGACCTTCCTTTGTGTATTCATAAAACAGATTGCATCATAACTTGTGCGATTGCTTTTAACTTGCTTGAATTTGACATTATTTTTTATTGAGTAATCACGAATAGCATCAACCAATTGGTCCTTAGTCTCGAATAAATCTCCAACTCTGAAAGGGACGTCATCATCTCTTCTATGGGTTGAACTTTGGCCAATGCACATATCTTGTACTATGGAAGAACGAATCCGCTCATCATCTTCAAACTTGTTAGGGGGTGGTTCTTCATACCCAACATATTCATTAGTAATATAAGCCTCATCAGGCCAATCCGGATTTTCTTCAACATCTTTAGTCACAAATTGCATGCTATCAATTGGTGCACTATCTTGCTCTTCACCTTCAGAGTCATTGCTTCTTTCATCCTCTTCAATTGTTTCCCCTCTTAACGGCCTCATATTTTCATAAGGGACTTCATTGTTCATGACATTTGACGTTCCCCCGAATGAATGTGCACTTGGATATTAAAATTGAGTCTGCTCCATTTCACTCGAAGAAGAAAGAAAACCATTAGACTCAACTCCCAAATCTAACATGCGTGAGAATTCTCCTGGAGGTTTGAATATTTGGCACGAACTATATGGCAACTTTTTAATAAACAATTCTATCGTTAGTTGTGACTTGCTCAAATTCAACATAATACTCATATCATGATCGTTTGAGATCTTAACTGCGGACGTTCTATCAAAAGTTATGGGCCAATTACATATTATTTTTAGTCGGTATTCTCGTAGGTCAATTTTCATAACTCGGTGTAATTCCTTAACCAAGTCATGGTAACTATATGATTCCGAGATCATTAACGACGCTGTTACCCCTCCTATGTACATTGACATATTATTCATTCCATAATTAATTTTCACACTACAAGAGCAAGCAATAAAAATCATATTGTTCAACCTATGTAATAGAAGATTATATCATTTAAATACAAAAAATTTAAAAAATATTATCAGGGCATCGAATAAGAGAGGAAAACCCAAGATGCAAATAATCTCATATAATTTTGATCAAAAACTCTAAACCCTAAATTTAAAATCCTAAACCCTAGAATTGATCATTCTATGCCCTAGAAGTTTTATTTCAATTACAACAATCAACACACAAAGCAATCGAACCACCACAAATAGAGTGGTTGATAAAAAATTTCAAACCCTAGAAATTCGTTTTTGATAGAAAACCCTAGATTTTTTACATGTTAAAAGAGGAGAGAATGTAAAGAAATTACTCTAGAGATCTTAAGCAAATTTTTACGACGAATTTCAACCGCAAAATGGGGCTGGGAGAGATGGGTTGGCGGCTGAACGCGAGAAATACCGGAGTTGGAGAGGAGAGAAATCGGGGTTTTGGGGGAGAAGGTTTCGGTCAGTATATATAGGAGGTTGGGACCCAACACAAGTAGCTGGGTTGGCAACCCCGACTATTCCATTACTTAGCAACTTCCCCATTTTCGGGTTGGGGGAGTCTCTACTAAGTGGTCGGGGTTGGGAACCCTGATTATTTTGTGTAATCGCTAAATTAGTCAAGGTTTCGAACCTCGACTTGTTTAGCTGCCAAATTACCAAAGGGCTATGGGTGAGGTCCTAATTAGTCGGGGTTGGCAATCCCGACTAATTAGGATCGCGATTTTTTTTTTAAACGACCCACTTTTTGGCCACGAAGCTGACGTGGAGAGAAAAAGGATCGATTTTTGTAAAAAAAAAGTTTAGAGTCGGTTGATTTTTGAGATTAAAATTAGGAATGAGTTCATTTTAAAAATTTCTTTATGGAAACACAATATTTATCCCACCCCCAATTCTATCTATTCTAGGCCTCAAAAGTAAACTAACAATGAACCGGCCAACCGATCATTCATCCTAATTAACTTACGTATCATCATGTGTAAACACTCAAATCTTCTTCCCAATGCTTTATTGTAGGTCAATATTTTTTTCGTATAGTCACTTCAACGATTTCTGCTTAGGGCCTGTTTGTTTGTACGGAAGTAACTGTGAAATAGCAGAAGTAGAGGAAGCAGAGGCTACTTCTGCTACTTCTTGGCAAAAATATATGTTTGTTTTCTCTGTAAAAACTACTTCCGCTACTTCCTTAAATGATGATGTGGCATCTACGTGGCACCTCTATTTCCTTGATATTTTTCCTTCTTCGAATGCACTGAAATACGGCGGAAGTTGATGTAAAGTGGGGTCCACGAGGAAAAAAAGATTCTCAAATATATAATTAGGAAATGATTTTTTTCATAACTGACTCCCTCACAACGGAGTATAACCCGCGTGATCTTTAATGTTCAGTCCTGGTGTCTCTATATTTACTAAAACATTTAATGTTCAGTGCTTGCCTCAAATATATAAACGAATACTTTCAAATCAGAACTTTTTAACGATTTGGACACATTGATTGCCATTGTTAGTCAAATCCTTGCTTGTGTAGTTAGATATAAACAAATATGTTCAGTCCTCGTGTTTCTTCTACATTGTCCTGCTTTTGAATTATTGATGTTGTTTTACTCTTGATGTAAGCTTTCTAACTTTTAAGCACAGCAATCCTCGAGGCATGTGGTGTGTTATAATACTTCCATTTACATTTCTATTTCAATGACAATCCAAACAAAAATAAAATAAAAGTAACATGAATTAATTACTTCCTAGTAATATTTCTAAATATTATCCAAACAAAAAAAATAAATGAAGAGGAAGAAGTTCTACTTCCATTACTTCTAAAATATATGAAACAAATAAAAAAATATTATTTTCACTACTTCCTATTTTATAGTTTTGAAAGTTACTTCTGTAACCTATTTCTTATTTTCAATACTTCCATTATCCAAACGGGCCCTTAAGGAAAAAACACTACCCCATTGATAACAAGCTAAGCGGATGAGAGACGCATAAATCAAAATAAATTTCAAGATTTATATTTAATGAAATTTCTTTCCTCTCCTCTTAATTCTAAAACCAATTACTTCAACCATTCTTTTTTTTTTCTTATACGCTAATGCCGCAAAATCGTGCGCCTCATTTTACTTGACGTGTACTAATATTTAATAACCTGATGTCAAAATTAAACAAAAAGGATAGTTAGCCCAGTTAATGATTCTCTCCAACTAAGTCTCGAATTATTCTTCATCTAGACTATTATTTTTGGCTTCTTTCACACTAATCCCACGTCATCACACACTAATCTCACATCATCACACGGTCAATTTTGCTCATTTTATTTGATATATTTGATCCTTCCAGTTCAGTTGATGGCACACCGGAAACCATTATCCTCTGATAGTGAGGTAGAATGAATTGGCTTGCGTTTACGTACATACAAAAAAGGTAAGCTGGCATATAGAACAGCAGCAATTTTTTGCATAGAGAGGCCACACCAGAAACCACCATAAACGTTGGTGACCTGTCAATGATAAGTTTAGACATCTTGAATCACCGGCAATGACTACTACCTTACGTTTCCGCAGCAGATAAAGAAGAATAATATGATACCTCTCTTAACAAGTCACAAATAATTGAACCTATATAGACTCAAAAGCTATAATCTTTTTTCACAGCATCAAAGAAAACCAGCACAGGGAAACAAAATGCAGTTGTTTAGAAATCCAATCCAGATTAGAACTCTCAACCCAGAAAATGATAAAGAGTGAGAAGCAGATACAGAACTGACTGAGAACCAAATTTGGAAATAAAGGATTCAGCACTAGATTGATGGGATGCCAAATTAACTTCCTTGCAGGAGTAGGAGGCAATTATTCTACATAGTGGCCTCAACTTCCAAATCAGCTTCAACAGGTTCTGGCACCGCTTTGTTCCCTCCTCTTAATCGCGAAGAAACATTGTCAATAGCAGAATTAAGCTGGCTTATCTTCGCATTCAGAGTCTGACGAGTCTTCTGCTTTTCCAAATTCACAAAGAAAGGAAGACATAAGAAACATGATGATTCCATAACAATGCTTGAATACTAAAGCCTATGTTTCTCACCTCTAAACCTTCATCATAGTAGACAGGACGCTTCGCCTTGCGGAATCCATATTCATCTTCGTTCAGTATTGTTCTCCTGATCTGAACAAGAAACAGTTCAAACTTTGTCAGTCAACATAGCTTAACTATATATAGATAGGCTAAGTATACAATAACTTAAATGTTGATTCAATGGAGCCGCAAAGACAATTCCATATGCTACAGAACATAACTTCTAAACCAATTATGCAGAGATCTCTAATTTGTCTTCATAGTGCATTTTATATCGATGAGTCATTCCTTGGCAAGGAGATTCAATCTGTTTTATTTTATATCAATGAGTCATTCCCTATTGAGTCATTCCATTGGACATTTTAGACACAGAGCACTACTGCTGCACCACCATTACAACCATTGCATCCTCCTCATTGTCATCCGGTGGTTCTTACTGGCCCATGATTTCTCTAGCTATCTACGAGTCATTCCATTGGACATTTGAGACACGGAGCAATGCTGCTGCACCACCATTACAACCACTGCATTCTCCTCATCGTCATCTGATGGTTCTACTGTCCCATGATTTCTCTAGCATTTCTCCCCCTTCCTCCCCTCTTTAATTCATTCTAAGTGTGCTCTAGAGATGAATGTAGTCATCCATGTAAAATCACATCTTTTAATCTCTTCATCAAGAAATTTCTCTGGTCTTTGGGAATTTCAAAATTTTCTTCATGGCTGCATGAGCTTATTGTAACTTGCAGGACATCGTGGAAATCTGCGTGCCAATATGCAATCAAGGTTATGGCGTTGTATTGAATTTGGCATCAACCAGTAGTGTCGACATAGAATTGACCATCAGTTGGAAAAAACTTGGCCTAATCCTCGGTAAAGCTTCCTCTTCTTGGCATCTTGCTGAAATGCTCGATGTCTGATGTCTATTTTGTTGAAAAGGCATAATAGCAAGGTTTTAAATGTCGAATGTCAGGTTCATGTCAGATAGCTGAACGGACAGCTGAAATCCATGTCGGATAGCGAAAATCGGGAATATATCGGGGGGACATGGACTAAATATCGGATTACCATATCGAGTGGTGTGCATATGTATAATATCATGTCCTAAATGTAATCTAAGCATTCCTAAATTCAATATAAACATACTTTATAAATTCTAGAGGCGGCGCCAGTGATGGGTGGATTCCGATGTCGCAGGGAGGCAGTATCGGGGCTCTTCTTCTTTGTCTTCGTCTGCTCGGGGTCCTTCGGATGAGTCACCGACCACCCTCTTCCCTTTATCCCGACGACGGCATACTCTGCCGCCCTCGGGTTCAATTGGGGTTCGGATTTCGAGGCGCAACTGGAGATGGATGACAGGTGGCCAAGATGGAGATGGGGGAAGGACGTTGTCGTTCATGAAAGGAGTGATCGTTTTCCAATTCCGCTGTAACCCTAATTTTTCTCTTTTCTTTCTATCGGGTTCATAAAAAACCCTTAAACATGAGAATGGGTCAAACGGGTTTGGATTTTTATCACTAAACCCAAACCCGATAACAAAAAACAGATCTAAAAAAGGGCCATATCGGCTGATTTTTCAAGGCTAAAAATCAGCCAATATGCCCGATTTGGCCCCAATATTTTCGATTTGGCCCTAAAAACCGACATACGGGTTGAAAACGCCCATGTCGTGTCGCTTAAGCCCTCAAACCGACATATTGTCGGCTGACATTTAAAACCTTGCATAATAGTAACCATATTACTGATTTTTAAAGCCTAGGAATACAGAACAGTCAGGAACACCTAACGACATCACCAATGCAAAATAACTAAATACAAATTAGTCAAGTCTAGTAGTAAGTGATCCGGGAGGATCTTTCTATTCTAGCAAGAAGACTAAAATTACAGTACCTTATAGTCTATTCCAGCAAGGAAACCGAAATTACAACACCTTGTAGAGTCCTATTACAATTAGGAGTATGAATCCTATTACAACATGGAGTTCCTGTCACAGTTAGGAGTATGGGTCCTATTCGTAATAGGAGTACAAGTCTTATTTGTGTTAGGAGTACAAGTTTTTTTTTCCAAAAGTATCCTCCTGATTTAAGGGGCCCTTCCTAGGGCATCAAATTATTAATATTAAAGAGTTATGTACACCAAAAGACTCTGATGCGCACTTACATGCATCAGGAGCAAATTGCACTAGAAAAACAGGTACCAGGGCAAAACAACAAGCATAAGAGGCCCACATATACATCACAAATAGGGGAAAAACCAACAAGCCTGGCCTCACCCGACATTAAGCCCTATTCTATACCTAGTTCCTTGTTTATCAGACTTGATGAGCTGCTGAATGGAGGTCAACAGGTGATGTAGAACACACTATGAACATATTTATGGAGAGGCGGGACCGATACAGGCCCAAACGCGGACCTGGTAGAGGAAAATAACTTGCAACGAAGAACGGGTCAAATCTCTCAAACCATAAGTCGGAATTGGACGAATTATATATATAAATCGCGTATTTTTTCGAGACGGAGTCAACCAAACACACCGTTGTTCGGTTTGCCACCATCTGTTTCGCCAAATTCCCTCTAGATTGAGAGATATCAGCGTTTTTGTCAGTTTTTTACTATTTTAGATAATATTTTAAGAGTCTGTTTTGATTAGAAAGCAAATCCCGTTTGATTCTAAATTTGACCGATTTACTTCCCTAATCCTAGGGAGGAAGGTTTTTGTTATTGTTATTTTTTGATAAAGCTTGAGTCATAGGAGTTGTTTATTTTGCTATTTAAGCAGAGTATTGTAAGCCCTAATGGCTTACATTTTTATCAATAAAATTTCTCTTTTAATATTTTTTTCGTGGATTCGAAGATCGTTCTTTATGGATTCAGAGAACACTCATTGGTGGATTCCGAAGTTATCACTTCCGCACTGCGTTAAATTGATATCAAAACCTTATTTTTCCGATCCGATGGCAGGCGATGAAGCCCCTATTTTTCGAATTAAGTTCGATGAGTTAAAGACCGATGTTAATCATATGGAGATTGTCATAGAGCGACTTGCGGCCGCAATGGAGCGTCTGAACACGATAGGAGTTTGAAATCACATTGATGGTCGCCAGTGACGCGATCTGAATCCACATGATGAATTCAACAGCGACGACGACAACTATAAATTTCTTTTAACAGGCAGCTTCATATCGAAGAAGTTCTTGATTGAGTTGTAGAGGTGGAGAGGTTCTTCGAGTATATGAAGATCCCAGATGAACGTAAGGTTAAGTTGGTGGCCTACTGACTTAAAGGTGGAGCATCAGCTTGGTGGGAATCAGTATGCATGAATCGATCCTGACAAGAAAAGCCGAAAGTCAATAAGTGGGAGGATCAGTGTTCTAAATGTCGACCGACATGTCGGACATGTCGGCCGACATAGCGGATTGAAGGCCAAGCGACACGAATCGGCCTATTTTGAGTCGTATATCGGAATTCAGGAGGAAATCGGAGATGTCGGGGAAATATCGGTCATGTCGGTCGCTTTTTAACCTTAGAAAAATCGGCCGATTTCTCCAAATATCGGTTTACAGCTTTTTTGACTTATTGGGTTTGGGTTTTGTGATGAAAACCCAAACCCATTTGACTATGCGTTGAACTTGAGGGACTTTTTACGAACCCAAACCCAGAAAACGAGTTCATATAAAGAAAAAAAACGAAGCTAGGGCTAGACTGGGAAGAGAACATCCGGCTTCATCTTCTTCGTTTCTCACTCGACTCGACCGCCTTCGACAGCCTTCGATGCCTTCGACGGCCTTCCAACTTCGACCGCCTTCAGCCGCCTTCGACTGCCTTCGACCGCCTTCGACTACCTTCGACCGCCTTCAGCCGCCTTCGACGCCTTCGATTGTCATCGACGCCTCTTGCTTCCTGAGGCTTCAGCTGTCAGGTATCTCTCTCTCTCTCTCTCTCTTCTCGATACTTTTTAACTTTTTTTTCCTTGCAGTTTGAGTTCGTGCTGAATAAAATTAGGTGAGCTTTTCAGTTTTCCCCTTGAATCTTTTTAATTTTCACCTTCTTTTCAGTTTTCCCCTTGAATCTTTTTAATTTTCACCTTCTTTTCAGTTTTCCCCTTGAATCTTTTTAATTTTCCCCTTCATTTCAGTTTTGCCCTGTCAAATAAAATTAGTTTCAAGTTAGTAATTGAATTATAAAATTGAAATGCAACAAATTTAAATGCTAATGCATAGGAGAGAGTGAGATACTTAACAGTTGACACTCCTTAATGTCTGTTCCCTCCTCTCTTGAATTCTACCAAGTTGTTGCTGAAATTAAATTGAAATTAGAAACTCCCAAGCAATTGAGAAGTGAAATTATCATCCCTTGTGCGATTTCTAAGCAGTTGATTACTTTTAGGACATGATACTATACATATGTGCACCACCCGATATGGCAATCCGATATTTAGTCCATGTCCCCCGATATATCCCCGATTTCCGCTATCCGATATGGATTTCAGCCGTCCGACATGAACCCGACATCCGATATTTAAAACCTTGGGGAGGATGAAGAAATTACTAAAAGCTCGTTTCTTGCTAGGTGATTATGAACAAGTCTTGTTTGGACAATACCAGAATTGCAAATAAGGTGGACGAACAGTTAATGAGTACACGCAGGGGTTTTATCGGCTGACATCTTGCAACAATTTAAATGAGAATGAGGCCCAACTGATGTCTTGATATATCGGGGGATTAAGGATAGCAATTCAGGATCGTGTACCTTTGCAGCAGACATATATTTTGACAGAAACAATTAGCTTAGCCGTAAAGATGGAGCAACTACTTCGACGGAATAATAGAGGATCATGGACAGCTTCCGACGGGTCACGCACGAGCTTTAATCGTGGTGGGAATAGTCTTAAATTGCTTCTGGTCAATATGCTACAGCTGAAAAAATACAGGACCAACAACAGCAGCAAAGAAGGCTACACCACCGAACCCATGTGCCAAACTCGATCCAATTAAGTGCTACAAATGTGGTCAACTTGGTCAGCGATCCAATCACTGCCCTAAAGAAGTGTTGTGAATATGGTCAATCATGAAAGAAGTGTCGTGAATATGGTGA